CGTAAAGGTCTCAACCCATCTTTTATTCTTTATCTCTCTGGTCCTTACCTGGGTATTGCTGGTGCTGTTTTTGGAAAGGATTTTACAATAGATCCTCTTACACATATCCTGCCACTTCTTTATTTAAAGAATGATCCAGAAATGATGGTTTCTATTGCTCGTACTTTTAAGGCATTAAAAACCACTCTTGGTGAGCTAAAAAATTATTATTCGGAATTTCAAGTAACACAACACATTGATAATTTAAATCTTCAACGACCAGCTAGTTTTCCTTATCCTTCTTCATTTAAAATGGATGATAACAGTAATATCAAATTTATTTATAAAGATCAACTTTGTGATGGTAAATTAATTTTTAGAGTACAAGGACAAAATGGAGAATTTAAAGATAAGTGGATGGTAGTAAAATTCACACAAAAATATTGCAAAGAGGTTCACAAATTCTGTGAAAAAAAAGAAATTGCACCTGAACTTTTTGCATTTAATAATCTTTCTGGAAGTTGGAAAATGATTGTTATGGAGTACTTATCTGATAATAAGTATATTAATCTTTACAGTCTTCTAAAAGAAAAAAGAGAAAATCAGAAAGATTTACAACAAAAAGCAATAGATGCTGCAAAACTTTTACATTCTGGAAATTATGTGCATGGTGATCTTCGAGCATCTAATATTATGATTTCAATTGATATGAAACATATAAAGATTATTGACTTTGATTGGAGTGGAAAAGTAGATCATGCTATTTATCCACATTTTGTTAGTAAAATCTTACCTTGGCATCCAGATGTTGATTGTGAAAAACCAATTGCTAAAGAACATGATTTATATCTTTTAAAGAAATCTATAGAAAGTAATCCTTTTTAAAAATAACACATTTTTTTATATTATAGTTTGATATTTTATTAAAATATTTAATTTTTTTTATTTTTTAAATTTTGGATTTAGATTTAGATTCTTAAAATGTTATACTTAAATAAATTAGTGAAAACAAAAAGGTATATAATTTACTTTTTAAAAATGAATAAAATGTATAATAATTCTTTATATTACATAATAAAAAGTATTATTAAACAATAAATAGATTTTATGATTTAATGTTTTTTTTATAAATATTATTTTAAGATTAATAAAATTATTTATTTTAAAATAATTATAAAAAATTTATAAAGTGAATATAAATTGTATATATAAGAATAAATATATATGAAAAATAATATAAATGTAATAGTTCTAATAAATATTAAAAAGCAATTGATTTTTTTAGAGAAAGATTATAAATATGATTATTCTTTAAGAATTTTTAAGAAAAATTTTGCAAAATTAAGAGAATTTTTTTTAAATCAAAAAAAAAACATTTTTATAAACTAACTTAAAGTAATAAATAGTAAATCAATAAATACTAGTAGACTAAATGTCTTAAAAAAATCATATCTAATAAAAGAACTTTCTATCATTTGATCATAATATACTTCTTTATTAAAATCTTATTTTAATATATTAGAAATTAGTAAGAATTACTTTAAAAATATTAGAAATCATCTGATAAATAATGGTATTTTAACTAAGAATTCATAATAATATTAAAAAGACATCTTAATAAAAAATAAAAATATATGATTAATGAAGATGTTGCTAAAATGTAAGTAATTTATGCAGAAATTCATAAAATATCAAACTTAATAAAAAGTATCAATAGAATAAATCAATTAATTATATTTTTATTAACTGAAATGAGTTACAAATCTTATATAAAGATTTTTTAACTGATCAAAAAAAATATAAATTAAAATTTTTAAAATATGATACATTTAAAAATTATGATACTAATTGACGTTAGAGATTCAAATTATAAGTTTAAAGATTAACTTATGTGATATTTACTAATATTTTTAAATGATTTACATTACAATACTTATCAAGAAGAGGGAGAGGACTAAAGAATTATTTAAAAAATTTAAAGAGTATCTATTTAAAACAAATTAGAAAAAAATTATTATAATAAAAATATCAAATTAATAAAAGAATAAAATACTTAGTTGTTCAAAATTATTCTTAAGGTAAAATATAATATTATAGCATTGATATTATAGTTATGATTAAATTTAAAATATTTGTATATATCTCATTTAGATTAATAAGTAAGTAAAATTTATTAATTTAATTTACATAAAGTCTATTTAATTAATATTCAAAATAAAGCAGTAGAGTTCTGAATGAGTCAAGTTGAGTTGAATTTAAGGATCAACTCTATTCAACTCATTTTTTTCGAGTTGAGTTGAGTCAAATTTATTTATAAAATTTTTTAACTCGACTTGATTCGAGTTATATAAATTTTAAACTCGACTCAATTTGACTCAACTCAAGTTTAACTCGACTCAATTTTAACTTGAATTTATTTGAGTTGAGTCAAATTCAAATCAAGTTTTGAGTCAAATTTAAATTAACTTATAAATATTAAATA